TGGGAAAATAACTAACATATGTACGTAACAAAAACACAAAAAAAAAAAAAAAAAAAAAAAAAAAAAAAAAAAAAAAAAAAAAAAAAAAAAAAAAAAAAAAAAAAAAAAAAAAAAAAAAAAAAAATTAGCGGAAATTTGGTGAAGGAGAAATTTTCACGTTTGCATCAAAGTTGTGAATTTAATTTCAGGTCTTAAACCTAACTCTATATTTATGTATGTATATTTAAATTAAAGTTTTTCTTAAACTAACTTCCAAGATATAAATATATATTTGTGGAATTACTGCTTATGTAAGGTCAAGAAAAACTTGAATGGGCGCAAAATTTACCTTCCTTCGCTAAGGTTAATTAGCGTGTGGTTAGCGGCCATTGTGACAGAAATTATGGCACCGGAAAGTTGATTGGAAAGCAAGTAGGCGATGACGTTGCGTCACAATGGATTTGCATGCAACTTTTTATATCTGCAAATTTGTGTGTTTGGTATGGGAATTTTTGGCGTTAATTTGGGTTTGAATACTTTTTTAATAAAATTTTGGTCATTTAAATTGGCCAAAACTGAAAAAATACATTTATAACTATTTTGGTGACCAAATTTAAGTCATACTTATAGCGTTTGTAATTATCAGCGAGCATTTTGAAACTTTCATAATTGTGCTAGAGAGCTTGATATGTTCCAATTAAGGTTTCAGCGTCGCAACCGTTAATGCAAAAATTTTACTAACAACAAATATTTTCTAATACATCGGCACCTAATTTGGTATACTCCCCGCTTTATGACTAAACTAGCGAAAATCCGAAAACTGGTTAAAATTTTCACTACAAATGTGGCTAATTTCATTGCTACTCTCAGTTTGCCTACTGTAGCGCCTTCTTGTAGTAAGCTAAGGCTAAGGCTACAGTTCTAGTTCTCACCAAATCAAATTATGACCGCGTTATTCTCTTCATAAGTAGCGGCTCATTTATTAGAACCGCCGTTATCGAACCACTATAGCATATAGCTGTTATAGAAACTGATCGATCAAAATTAAGTTTTTATTTGGAAAACTGTTTTATTTGACAAGATATATATTTTCAGGAGCTTTTTTTTTATAACTTCGGTTCCTAATTTCGTCACGAAAGTTTGCTGCCAACATGGCCATGGTCTGAATAGTGCTTCACGTGAACTTTACTTTTCTAAAAAGCTTTATGTGTATAACGGGTTAATAGAAAAGTCACCGGCCTAGCATAGCATAATAATTTTTTTTTTTGGATAAATTCGATTTAATATTCTACATAGTTTTCTCTCTTCAGTACGTTTTTGGTAGTACAATTTGTCCTTTGCTTCAAAATAGGCCTCATTTTCGGCGATCACCTATTCATTCGACGAAAGTTTCTTCTCAGCGATCATTCTTTTTAGGTCTAAGCCAAATGCATAAACTTTTGCCTTCGTTTTCACTAGCTTCTAAAATTTCGTGTAGAAACAGCACTTTCTGTTTCATCAAATGCGGATGCTTTTCGGCGATTTCGGCCAAATGGTAACATTATACGCTAGGATCATCAACAGAGATCCTCTTTCAAGGTAGTCAATAAAAATTATTCCATGAACATAATAATACGCTTTAACCATGCTGGACAACCGTTGCTTTTTTTCTCGCTGTGCAACAGGTTCATCGGATGACTATCGATTGAACTTCGGAGTGAAATAATGAACCTATTTTTCATCCACTGTCATATATGCATGAAATAACTCGGTTTTTTTCACTTTCATACATCTCCAAATATCGCAATCAATCATTAACTCGTCGCAGTTTTTTTATCGAAAGTGTACTCGCGCGGCACCCACTTTGCACAGAGCATATCTTCATATCAAAATATTCATGAATTAAATAACGTATACATTCATCGTTCACGTTGATATCTCTAGAGTGTCTGCTTTACTGAAACTTTTCAATTGATGAAACAAGTTTATGGCGATGATTGCATATCCCGTAGCGGAGTGCACGAGTGGTTTCAACGTTTTCAAAGTGGTCATGAAGACATAAATGACAATGAACATGTGGGCCAATCAAAATCCGTGATCACCGGAAATTCCAACGAAACGGTGTGTGAATCATCAAAAATCATCACTGAAATTCATGAAAATGGAATCGAACATCTCCAATACATCGATTTATCGCATTTTGACCGAACATTTGGGCTTACGAAAGCTGTGTGCACGGTTTGTTCGGCACAAATTGACTGACGACCAAAAATTGCTTAAAATCCA